ACCCCCACCCCACCCCCAGTTATTACCATTTACGTTTTTGTCATTTCCTGCAAGGGCTGCCTGCTTATCTGTTTCAGATTCCGCCTCATTTTCATCCATGTTGTAGTCATCATCTCCTCCCACTTTTTGCGGGTTTCTCCCTGTAAAATTAGCACAGGCACATAAAACATAAACTACGTCATTTCCCTCTCGATGCCACAGACACACCAGAGCCCAGATGCTGGGTGCTCCCAACCGCAGATTCACAGTCCAGTCTTCTTGCCACGTCCCAGGAACGGACAGGGACGTGCGTGTTTGCCAGAACCCGTACCGCGGAGGGTTCTCCACTCACGCGTGTCTGCTTCACCTCCGAGGCTACGTAAAATGGGGTAACTAGCTAGCTAGGTGAACCCAAGCCCCAGTTTTTCAAAGAGACAACTCGCCGTTAGAGGAAGACACCACTGCTTTTTGGAAACAGCGGGTTTCTAGTTATTGACGGCATCTCCTTGGCAGAGCTCATCACTCTAAAAGAAGGAAAGAGCATGGCTGCTGTGAGCCAAGGGATAAAACTTTCCATCATACACACAGGCGTCTATCATTCATCACTACATCCATCCCCGGAGAGAACAGCAACCAGAAAAGATTAGGACAAAATGCATTCCACAGACACAGTCACAGGATTTAATGGAAACATGTTACATATGTATATAGGTAAGTAAACAAAATCTTTTTAAGCACACCTGGAAAAGTCAGCTCTAGTGCTATTTCTCTGCACTCGCTGCCTGAAGTGGAAACAAGCACAGGCCTGTGTGCCCTGTAGCTTTGCAAAGCAGATCGTTACTAGTGCACCTGGGCCAAGGTGCCTCGTGTCCTGCAGGATCGAGAGCCCTCTGGTGACTGTTATGCTTTGTGACCAGCTGCCGAGTGGTCTGAAAGCTGAATGCCATGGAACCAGCCACCTGGAGTTTTTTTATTTCAATTCTTGAACTAAGAACTCATGAGAACACATTCTTCCAAAAGAGAAAGTTGAGTGAAAATTAGATTTAAATGGATAACTTCTGCAATAAGCATATTCCCCAACTTCTATTGCTTGGTCACTCCCAGATACAGGTGTCTTCTATTTAAGTGCTCCTGGCTCAGCTGGAATTGAGATTTTTCAGATCTCTAAGAAACCAAAATACATCCCAGAATATTCTGTTGATCTCAGTTTCTCATACTTTATTATTTTTTAAAATATATCTTTATTGATTTGAGAGAGAGGAAGGGAGAGGGGGAGAGAGAGATAGAAACATCAATGATGAGAGATCATCACTGATCGGCTGCCTCCTACACGCCCCCAACTGAGAATCGAGCCCGCAACCCAGGCATGTGCCCTGACCGGGAATCAAACCTTGATCTCCTGGATCCTAGGTCGATGCTCAACCGCTGAGCCACGCCCTGCCGGGCCTCATACTTTACTTTAAAAAAGAGAAAAGTCAGCCAAACCAGAAAGGTGAGATTCACGTGTTCCTTTTCCGCAAACTAACTTTCCTCCTTCCTTCTTTCCCTCCATCCGTCCTTCCCTCCCTCCCTCCACCACCTCACCAGCTACTAACTGGTGACTGCATGTGGCAGTGCAGAGACAGAGACAAGGCATGTGGTCTGCCTGCCGCGAGGCCTACTTTACTGAATGCTAAGCACCCATCAAGGTGGGCTGCCTCCTGAAAGGGCCCCTCGATTCCTCAGAATATTATTCTGAAAACTCCACGTGCCAGGGAGTGCACTGCTCTTCCCTCCCACCTCCTACTTGACAGCTGATACTCAATACACAAAATGACGCACGAGATCGTGGACTGCTATTTCAGGGGGACCTTTCCTTCCCATCAGCAGGCAGCCCCCAAAGCCTCTCACCCACCTTCCTCGTCAGCATCCGGCTCCTCCTGCCCATCCCGGACCACGAGCTGGTCCCGCTCCAGCTCCTCCCCCTCCTGGTTTTCCTGGCTCATCAACAGGGTGGCCGGCACCTGCGGGGCTTGGCCGAGGTCCCCAGCATCTCCCGCAGCTCTTCCGCCCGCAGGTTTCTCTGCTTCCACAGCCTGCTCGTGCTCTGCCTCCTGCGGCAGCCCCAGGCTGTCCCTCCGAAGCGCCTCCTCGCTGACGACCTGAATGTCGTTGGTTTCCTCTGTGCACAGAACATTGTTAGCGGTAACCTCACTGGGCTGTGGATGGCGGGGCAGCTGAGTAATTCATTTAGTGACACTGGCAGAAGGCTTCAGTCCCCTCTAGGCCTGCAGCTCATCTTTAAAACCATGAGAGAAAAGCGGTTTAGAAAAAAAAAAAGCTGGACTAAGTTACCCTGATGACAGTGACAACCTACAAGTGGAGGAAGGTGTACTGCTGAGGTCATCTGATCACTGTATAGGAGGCGAGTACTTGGGAGCCACTAGACGTGCCTAGGACTCAGCCGCCTCCCGTGATCCTACAGTCCCACCAGGGTCCCGAACAGAGGCCAGCCTAGACCTTTCTGTACACAGCTGCCACAGAACAAGGCACTTTACAGGGTGAGACCAGACAGAGAAAAAGCCCGGCAGGCCCAGCTCCGGGTGCCCAGGGAGGCACCTGCCACGTGCAGCCCCTATCGGGCTCGCGGCCGCCTCCAGCGGCACACTCTGCCCTCGGAGTGTTAGTTTGGAGGGGAGGGCTTGAACTGCCACAGTGTTTTTATTTGGATGGGGCTCTGCAGAGGGTTTGAACATGTAATTGCCAAGCTTCACTTACCTTTCTCACCCTCTCTCCTCAAATCCAAAGCCGCCTCAGAGCTGGGGGCTGGCGTCTGGGGCTCGCCGTTCCTGGGCATGTTTCCTGTCCCTTGCGGCTCCTCTGCCTGGAGCAGGCCTGCTTCCTGCGACCTTGACTGAGGCTCGCTGGGAGCTCGGAGCTGAAACAGGAGCACAGGGCAGCCGAGGCAGGGGCTCTGTGACTAGAAACCTTGTTAACAACCCTGAGCAATGCGACAGACCACCATGTCCTTCTGACAAATGAGAACACGGAGGCCCTGAGAAGTGCCACGAGATTCCCCAATCGTGCCCCGTCGCCTAGCATAAAAACCAATAAATTGCAAATATTACATGGATGAATTGTACGGTATAATAAATTATATCTCAAAAAAGCTGCTATATTTTAAAACAAAAACGAAGATCTCCCAGAAGCAATTTCACGGGCCGTGCTTTACACAGGTGGCAGCTGGGCTCCGATCGGCTCCATCACTGACCGGGTGGGGGGACCTTGGCCATAGTATTCAACCATCTTCATGGGCCCAGCACCCTTGAAACAGGAAAACAGCAGCAACTCTCCCCCAGGGTGGCTGTCAGCTTTCAAAGAAGTAATCCTGGTAAAGCCCAGACTCGGGGACAGGGACCGGAGGCTGGCCTTCCCAGCTGGAGTCCCAGCACCCCAGGACCCGGCTGCGTGTCTCAGGGGAGCAAACGCACCAGGGAGAGGAGAGCGCAGAGCACCCCGCACAGCAGGTCAGGGAACAAAATGCCTGAGGAGCAGCAGGACTAACCTGGAAATGCTTGGCAGAAAAATCCAGAATTACCTGCTGGCCCTGCTCCTTCTTTTCACTCAGGTCTCTGGAAGCCACAGCTTCGTTCCCCTTTTTGGTGACTTCTTCTATCTGCTCCTCGCACTGCTCCTTCACCTCTTTCATCTGATTGATGCACTGGCTCCTTTGGTGACAGAAGGAAAGGACAAACATCTACAGGTGGGTCTACACGCCAGGTGTGTCCCTGCTCACCTTTTTCCTACTCCAGGCACTTCACCTACAGACGATACGTAAGGCAGGGCAAGGTGTGTTTTCCCTGCTAAATGACAAGAAAACTGTAACTGACTAAAACTTACTAAAAACATGTCACCTTGCTCTAAAACAGGTAAACGTCACTGGTTAGAGAAAAACAATTTTTAAAATACAATCTGTGGTATAATTTTTTTTTTAATATGCTTTGTCCCCAGCTGCTGGCACAGAGCTCCTAATGCCCTAGGAATTCCCTGAGTAACAGGAGTGGCTTCTGTTATTCATAATGAAACCTGGACCTTACCTGTGCTAATGAGTCAACTCACCGAGAGGAGCCTACAAAGCTTTAGGATGAGACTGGTGGCCAGAGGAACCAATCCTGTGATTAAGGGGCTAGAACTTTCAGCCCCACACCCCCATCTTCCAGGGAGAGGAGAGGGACTGGAGATTGAGATCAATCAGGAAATCAGTAACATAATCAATCACGTCTACGGACTAAAACCTCAGAGAGAAATTCTGGACCATGTAGCCTGGCAAGCTTCCCAGTTGGTGAACAAAAGTACATACCAGAAAGGTGGCACCCCAACTCCAGTAGAAGATCCTGCCCCCACCCCACCCCACCCCTTGCCCATGAGTCTCTACCATCTCTTTTAGCTGTTCCTGAGTTGTATCCTTTATAATAAGACTGTAATTTTAAGTACAGAACTTTCCTGAGGTCTGTAAGTTGTTCTAAAGAATTATAAAAATACCTGAGCATTACTCCTCAAAACTATCACAATCATAAAAAATAAGTCTGAGAAACAATCACCGTCAAGAGGAGCCTAAGGACACATGACGAATACATGAATGGGATCCTGGACAAAAAAAGGGAAGAACTGAGGAAATCTAAATAAAGTGTGAATTTTCATTAATAATAATGTATCTATATTGGTTAATTGTGACAAATACACCACACTAATATAAAGTGTTAACAATAGGGGACACTGGGTATGGAATATACAGGAACTCTCTGTACTATTTGGAAATAAATATAAAATTCTAAAATTCTAAGTAATTTTTAAAAAATAAAGATAATTGAACTGAACTGGAGGATGCCTGGTTGGTGTGAGAACCTCTGGTGGAAGGTACAATCTAACTCAGCCAAGCTCCTAGTTAGCAGACACTTAGAGGTATCACTTCAGCTATCTACCTGGAATTCATTTAATTAGAGTATCTCAAGTGTTGGTTATAAAGTAATTGAGAGAATCGCCCACTTGACAAGGAAGCTGAGAGATGACCTGACTGACACCATCCAGGGTTGCAGAAAGACAGAAGGTGGGAATCAGAAGCCGGACTGTGGTTTCCTGTCTGTGCAGCGCTCTCCCTACCACACGGCCGCCTCTTCCGAGCCACATGCTTGTCAGAGCCCAGTGTAAGAGCACTCGAACCTCTAACTCCTATAATACGCCCATCAGTTCAAAGGACTCACTGGATCGCAATGTACCACCCACATACGGACATCAGGTACTTTAGAAATAATTAAAGACAGAGCTTCTGACTTTGCAGAGCTTGTAGATCAAGAGAGGAATTGGTGAAAATTCATTTATAAAAATTTCTCACACACATGCAAGCCACAAGTGGCAGACTAGTGCCCAGTAGCTTAGCACAGCGAACAAAAAGAGAGACACCTCTATTCTGAAAGAACCGGATGTGTCCAATTCACTGTTATCCAACAATTTCACAGAAGCTCAGGATTAGCAAACGAGCAGGTGCAGGGCCGTTCCTGGACCTTTAAACCTACAAGAAGGAAATACTGTGTTCGCCTGCTCTTCCCCCTGCCAAAATCAAGTACAAAAATCCTCTCTCTCAGCCCTGCGGATTAAGGTCAGCTTTCCACTTTCCACCTCGACAGAGGAACAACCTCTGAAGGAAGCTCAAATTCTGGGACGCAGGTCATACAGATCGTGACAGTGTTACTTTCTGGAGGCTCAGGCCAGCTTTTCTTACACCTACATGGTGCATGTTCCGGCAATAACTGGAGCTAAAATGTAGAAACATACAAGATGAGGGATCATCCTAACTGGTGCAACTGATGGTCGGAAGACTATGAACGGAATGAGCTCAGTATAGGAATCTAGCAAGGCGACGATCTGATTAGCCGGGTGCTGACGTCAGAGTACGACTCATTCCAGTCCAGAGCCCTGCCTCCTCACGGCCCACGGAGACGGGAGGGCAGGCAGCTCACCTCATGCACCAACCCCACGTGCCATGGGGAGAGAACGCAAGCCTGTGCTTGGACCAAGTACAGGGATCGCTTAGTGATGTCTGCCACGGGGCGGGAGTAAGAAGTGGGGGCGTGTGATCACTGTGATGTCTGAAGAAAGAACACTTAACTCATTCCTCAGGAAACTTGGCCTTCCCACCCGTTTCTTCATTTTCAGCATTGCCTTTTATAAAATGTTGAGACCAGAGAGGGAGGGTGTTTTAACAGAGGATGGGCAAATTTATACATGGACATGTACACAACATTGCACACTCAACTTGTGGGACCCTGATGCACAACAATTTATAAATGTCCATTTATAGATTTTCTAACAAGGTGTTCCCACCTTTTATCAGGTCCTCACAAAGGGTCTAAAATCCAAAGAAAGTTAAGAACAGACAACTCTTTCCGGCTTTCAACATTCCAAGAACGCCATCGCTGGGAAGCATCTTGTATCCGGTTCAGGGCTTTGGACACAACTAATGAAACAGATGTGCTCAGCCAGAGTTTTTAATCCGTCATCCTCCGAAGAGAAAACAGTGCATCCCGCACACATAGCCAACCCAGGTTGGAACATTCTGCTCACTGGTTGTCTGACTTCTCCTACCCAGGAAACAGAGCTGCCCTCCCTGCCATTGGGCCCTGAATGTGGTCCGGCTTAGTCTTCCAGGTCAAATATATCAAGTGAGGCCATTAATGGCTTACTGTATCTCAGTCAATGGAGGGGAAATATATGTGTTAAGATGTCTTTCAAGGATGAATAATAATAAGACTGCGGCGGCCGTGCCAGCTTGGCTCAGTGGTTGAGCATCAACCTATGAACCAGGTCACAATTCGATTCATGGTCAGGGCACATGCCCAGGTTTTGGGCTTGATCCCCAGCAGGGGGCATGTGACTCTCTCATCATTGAGGCTTCTATTTCTCTCTCTCTCTCTCCTTTCCTCTCTCTGAAATCAATAAAAACATATTATAAAAAAAAAAAAAAAGACTGGGTACTTCATCTTTGTCTGAAAGTTTTCACTGATTACCAGCATAGCTCAGGGTTTCTCAACTAGCAACTACTGGTATTTTAGGGCAGGTAAAATTTTGTTGTGGGAGGAGCCCTGTCTTTGTAGGATGCTTAGCAGCATCCCTATTCTCTACACACTAGATGCCAGTAGCACCCTCTTGAGTTGTGACAACCAAAAATGTCCTCCAAAAGTCTCCTTGGGGAAAAATGCTACCCAATGAGAACCAATGGCCGAGGTGAGTCAGGTTCCATATGTGTATTTTCTTATGTTTCCTTTGCATTGACTACACATGTCCTTTGCATATTTATGTATTGGGGGTTCCTGGTTTGAGTTGTATTTGGCTTTAAAGTGATCAGGAGGATATTACAGGGAGTAGACAATCCCTTGGAAGACATCGGAATCCCTACAAGGGCAATAGGTGTGAGAAGACGTACTCACACGGATGTGTATATTTAAGGTGTAAAGCATCATGTTTTAGTACACACTGTGAAATGCTGCTCCCGATCAAGCTACTTAACCATCCATAATCTCACATACTTACCTTTTTGGTCACCATGCAGGTGGCCAAAATCTTTTCAGAAGGCAATTTATACCAAATGACACACTAAACCCAGAGTTGAGTCTTTTTTAGAAGGAAATAATCCAAAATAATATTTTTTATTTTATTATTTTTTTAAATGTCTTTATTGATTTCAGAGAGTGGAAGAAAGAGGGAGAGAGAGAGATAGAAACATCAATGATGAAAGAGTCACCGATGGGCTGCCTCCTGCACACCCCCGACTGGGGATCGAGCCTGCAACCCGGGCATGTGCCCTGACCGGGAATCAAACCGCAATCTCCTGGATCCTAGGTCGATGCTCAACTGCTGAGCCACGCCAGCTGGGCCCAAATAGTATTTTTTAAAAGTTATAGGCATTAATGTTAGGCCAGTTACAATAACCAAAACTTAGAAGTCACCTAAATATCCAACAGGGACATGGTAAGTTAAATTTGATACCTCCACAGTATGGAATATTAACCAGCCATTTCTAATGGTGAAACATTTTGGAACACGAATTTTTATATATACATAATGCAAGTAAAAAAAAAATAAAATAAAAAGATTTAAAAATTTTAACAATGACTGCAATTATGTAAAAAATTTGTGTGAACTTGGGCACAGCTAGAGAGGAGTAAGTCTAACAGAAAAGAGGGCCGGGGTCGTGGGTGGCTGCACGTCTCCAAATCCCAAACTTCCTATGCCTGAGTTACATTGTTTTTATGAGGGGAAAAAGGGGGAAAAATACACCAACTACAACTTCATTCTCTACCCTCTAAATTGTTTTCTTTTTACTATCCTACTTAATGGGTTTACCTAACTTTTTAAAAGTTTGTTTTGTTTTGATCCTAAAAATACTCCAATAAGTAAAACTGCAGCTTTTGTATGTGACTAAGGTTGTTATCAACTTAATACAGATGTCATAGCTATAAGCCAAAGGTCTAATGTACAGCATGGTGACTACAGTTAATAACAATGTATTGTATACTTGGAATTTACTAAGAGAACAGAGTGAGTGTTCTCCCGAAACACACAAAAAAGGTAAGTATGTGAGATTACAGATGCTTAAGCAGCTTGATCAGGGGCAACATTTCACCCTGCATAGCAAAACATCATGTTTTACACCTTAAATATACACATCCGTCAATCGTACCTCCATAAAGCTGGAAAAATAAAAGTACTCCATTCTCACTGCAGAAATTTGGAAAGACACTTAAAAGCCTCAAGAAAACAAAAGGTGTTATGCCACCCTGCCTCTTGGCCTGGGACGTAGACTTAGGCCACATCTGAGCACTTCTGGAAGCACTTTTAAAGGCCTTAGATTTACAGACTGAACCAGTTCGCCTGCACGTCGGAGTGCTCGCCTGTGCTTCACTGAGTGTTAAGTTACATTACGGTTTAACATATGCTGAGTTCGTCATTTCCTGCTGAGGAGAACTGCCCCCTTATTTAGCTTGGATTATGAGCCCACTGGCTAACACTTTTCCACGGCTTTGTGAAACACTGCTAACACTTAAAACATAAAATGCATTATTTCTGAAGGGCCTGCCTCCTGGAAGGGACTGGACCTTCCCCGCAGAGTCCTGTGTGCTCTATAACGGGAGGGGCGAGTGGAGACTGTGCTGGGCCCCGTCTGCTGCCCGCAGCCCCCGCGTGCACGCACCGAGGCCGAGCCACACTTACAGGTCGTAGGAGAACTTCCTCTCCAGGTTGGTCTGGTTCCTCTGAAACTGGAGGACCTCCTGCTGCAGCTTGCCGTAATTCTTCTGCAGGGCCTTTAACTGGTCTGAGCCAAGAGGAGGACAAGAGATCACACAGGTCACCAGGATGGTCGTCAGGACAACAGCAGACACGTCAAAATGCACAACCAGAACACAGTGGGCAGTGGGACGCCAGCGGAGGGAAAGAGGAATGGGTAAGAGCACAGCCCCTCCAGCACCCACGACACCCCAGCCCCGAAAGCGGCCCTGCAAGACCTACGATCCTACAGGACCTGGCACCTTGCTTATTTTCCAAACGTCTCTTCTCTCTTAAATCTCCTTTTTGACCTCCAACCCTTAAAATGCCTGTTTCTTTTTTAGACGTCATAAACCCTGAGCTGCCCCACAAGGTCACAAACACTGCTGTGTACCCCACTGATTCTGACACCTGATCAAGTCAGTAGCCCCTCCTGCCAAACCCCCGTCCTTGGCTGCCAGGCTACTGCCAGTATCCTCCTGGCATCTATCCACAGCCAAGCTATTCTCTGAGGCCCCTGGGTTCATTCAATCACTGGCTCTCTTATCTGGGAAACTGCAGCTTTCTTTGAGGAAATTCATCAGCCTCAGCCAGGATGCCCTGAGGGCTTGGCTCATAAAAGCAACACAGTAGGAAAAACAGAAATTAAGTAGGTATTTACAAGTCTGATAAGAACTGCAAAACTGAAAGGATGGGATGCTACGAAACAATGAAAAAAAAAATCTTGTAAAAGCTCTACAGAAAAAAGCAGCCTCTGACAAAGCGCCAAGCTGGAGGTAGAAGGACAAGCTGCCCTAGAGGTGACACCAGAATGGGCAGACGGCAGCAACCAGGGCGGGGACACAGCCCTGGAGAGACACCTGCGGTCCCCAATGCTTGTCCTTGCAACTCCAGACCTGCAAGGTTCTCTGGGGGGAAATAAATGGAAGTGAAGGACTCGGTGGAATGCTGATGCACACAGCAACATGGACCCATCTCAAAAACACGTAATCAATATCCTCGAAAAGACAAAACCAGGAGGGGGTGGGGTGGGAAACTGCTCAGCGGGTGCCTGAGGCTGAGACTGGGCAGGAGATTGACCACGAAGGTGAGGCAGGAACTTCTGGAGTGACAGGCATGGACTGTGTCTTGACAGTGACTGTGGTGGTCTAAGTGCATTTATCAAAACACACAGAAAGGCACACTGCGAAGGGGAAACATTATTACGTGTAAATTACGGTTCAATAAACCTAACCTTAAAAAAAAAGATTCCACAATCAAACCAAGCATGGGGCAATGGAATACTATTCTGCGATGAAAGGGAATGAACTACTGCCACCCACAGCAGCACGGACAGATTTCAAAGTGTGCTGAGTGAAAGAAGCCAGACAAAAAAGTATATACACTATACGTACACTGTCTGATTCCATGTATGTAAGATTGTAAAAATGCAAACTAATCTGCAGAGACAGCAAGCAGATCAGAGGCTACCCGGGGAGGATTACCAACGGGCACAAAGAAACTTCTGGGTGAGGGATATGTTCTCTGGGTTGATTCTGGTGGTGGTTTCTTGACACGCACACTTATGTCAAAACTTGTCAAACTGTGCTCTTTAAAAATGTGTTCACCGTGTGTCAACTGCACCTGATCAAAGTTTTTTAAAAATACTAAGTACAGTCACTCTGCATAACGCTGCTCTGGTCAGCGATGGGCACATACGTGACGGTGGTAACCATGCAGCCCAGGCACGCAGTGGGCTGTGCGTCAGGTTTGGGGGAGTGCACTCTGTGCCGTTTACACAGTGACGAAATTGCCTAATGACACATTTCTCAAGACATCCATCCGTCACCGAGCACACATGGCTGCATGGGAAAGGCTGCAGGCCAGACCCCCTTCGTGAGGGCTGATCAGGAACATCAGCAGACCACAGGCCTGAGAAGCCCCCGGGAGCCAGGTAACCCACTTAACTGTGCGTAACCCTGCATTTCCCCTATTAATATTCTTAGAATCCTAGACCAGCACCGTCCAGTGGAACCACAGGGTGGGGGAAAAGGAGGTTTGTAGTTGTTCGTATGGAAAAGGATACAATAATTAATAAGTAATAATAAAAACAAACTCTGTTTCGTGTACTGACAACTGTAAACCTACTTCTGCCCCACCCGGTATATACAACATATATATAAAACAGATCACATACACATCATAGATATGTGTGTGGCGCGTGCGCGCGTGTGTGTGTGTGTGTGTTGATCTCTCATCATATCAAAAAATGGGAGTGTAAGTTCTTCTGTTAGAAAACAGCTTGCAATGTACTCAGTAACCCTTTTAAAGGAAAAGCTCTTTAAGGAAATATAGTTAGGCAAAAAGAATAAAGATACTCAATCACTCGTAATCACACCCATCATGAGATCAGAATAAGAAACCCTAGAGAAGGACAAGAGGAAAGGTGGGTCCCCCCACCCCGAAGGCCTGATGTCTGGTACGGAGGAGGGGAGGGGGCTCACCTTGCAGGGTTCGGATGAGCCTCTCGCCTGTGGTGATATTACTCACTAAAACTGCCTGCAAGGAAGAGAAACGCAGAATGAAACACCCAGACCCTAACCCCTCAGAAGAGCCCATGTAAGACGCACACGTGGGGAAAAGGAAGGGTGCAACCCCTCTCCCCTAGAGCAGGAGGGCGGGCCCCAGGGTGGGCAGCTCTCTGGGGGACTATCTGCCTCTCACAGCCGGAAATGGAACTATCATGCAGAGAGAGATCTGCTTGCCAACCATCAGCTTGTAACCAGAGGAAGGGGTAACAGGGTCCCCCCGTCTATCTGAACTCCAGGAGCGGCCCCTCCTCGTGCAAGGCCCCAGAATGCCTGGCTGAATCGGAACCCTGGCCTTTGTCTGGGGAAGCCTGGGTACAGTCCCATCCTTAATCAGAAGTCAAACTCTGAATTCCAGGCCAGCTAACAGAGCAAAGAGGAGGAGACTGGGTGACCACTCCACTGGCACGGAGTCCTGAGCCATGTTAACCTCTGGCCTCTTCCTTCCTTCTGTCCACAGTCTACAAGCCTGGGGAGAGGAGGGTTCACACCCAGTTAGTTACACAAAGTTGGGAATGCTGATGACAGAAAAGGGGAAAGGCAACACAGGACTCAAGATAAGGACGTAAAAAAAAAGTTAAAAAAAATAAGCATGAGTGTGCTGCTGAGCCCGACCAACAGCCTGTATGCGCCTTGCAGCAGGTGCGCTGCTGAGCGCTCCACATCCACGCCCTCAGTGACTCTTCAACCAGCTGTATGAGGGGCACAGAACATTCTTCATTGTAGGGGGTAGGGAACTGAGGCACAGATTGCTTAGGAAGCTCGAGGTCATATGGCTCCCTCAACAGCAAACAGGCAAAGCCACACCGGAGCCCCAGCAGGCTGGCTCCAGGAAACAAGCTCTCCATCACTACTTGCCAAATTGGGTCTAAACCCCTAGCAGGACACCAATCTAGCGGAGTGCACGCAGTGCTAAAAGCAAACAGAAACCTGAAAAAGACGGGACTAGAATATTAAATATCAGAGCACATCACACTGGTAAGTGCTCTTTTGTAAACACACACACTGGATATTGGGCCAAAATAGAAAAGTTTCTTACTGTGTCATAACCAACAAAGTTCAGAAAATGCCACATACTGGATATGTCACCCATAACTTGGAGACACATTTCTGTCCCACTCCTGGTTAATGGTGACAATGACGATCACACCACCTCCCCCTTCCGTGCTCATGGCTTCCTCCTGGATTTCTCTGTCCAGCCCTTGCTCTTTCTTTGGCCTGGACAAAGTTTTCTGGAGTCAGGTACTTATGAATACAGGGGCGTGCTCCCAGGAAAGAAATCTGGCGAGACTAATCTGGTGTTTATTTTGGGAGATATGAGCACAGGAACATTTCCTGGTAAAGAGGAAGGAAGTCACAGTGATAATATGCTGTATAATTAATTGTGCAAGAAGAGGTTATCCAGAGGGGTGCTTATAGATATTGCATGCCAACAAAAAAGAAAAAAATATATATTTTTTCTACATGGGAAGCAGAGAGCAGAGAACCTGCAATGACAGGAGGATCTGCACAGCAGGAAATCCGATTTACATAGCTTGCAGCTCCTGCTAATCTCGGAAAAGGCTTGCACCTATTCAACTAAAAACAAAAAAGATGATCACATAATCCAGTATTCTCACTTCTGAGTATATATCTGGAAGAACTCAAAGCAAGGTCTTGAAGCAACATCTGCATCCCTATGTTTTATAGCAGCACTATTCACAGGAGCCAGTGTCCCTCAATAGGTAAAGGAAATGTGCATACAATAGAGTATTATGCAGCCTTTAAAAATGAGTGACACATGCTACACCATGGATGGACCTCGAGTACACAATGCTAAGCAAAACAATTCAGTCACAAAAGGACAAATACTGTACAATTCCACTCATACAAAGGCTCTAAAGCAGTCAAAACCATAGAAACAGAAGGTAGAAAGGTGGATAGTTGCCAAGTCCTGAGGGAGGAGGGAGGGAAATTAGGGTTGAATGAGCACAGAGTCTCAGTGTTGCGTGGTAAAAAATATCTAGAGCTCTTTTGCACAACAACATGAATATATTTAAAGCTACCGAACTGTACACTTAAACTTCCACCTCGCCTAGGCATCAAAAACTCCTTCCCTCCGAACACCGGGGCTGAAACAAACAGAAACAGAAAAAGAACACTTAAATGATCATACACTGGTTACATCTCAAAAACGGCCATCTCCTGGGTAAATCATGTCTAAATTTTGGCAATATAAAAATTATGGCAATCTGACTTGTCCCTTCTCTACTCATTCCCCTTAGCCCCACCCCCAAAAAATCCATATGGAGTTTGCAACTGTCTGGGGGATTAGGAAGGTTCAGAAATTGCTACATTCTGAGGTATCTGGAGATATTTCAGTCTCCCATGTGACTATATTCTGCCCAAGAAAATATATTTTAGTTGTCTTCCTCCACCTACTTACTTATGCATCGAAAAATACAGTCTCCACTTCAGTAAATGAGGAAAGGATCATAAAATTCCATCAAGCTTTTATATGCAGTTTTATCATTTATATTGTAAATCTTGTCGGATCATTTTCAGGAAAACAATGAAACTGCTTATCGCTCTTTGGGGAGTTCAACAAAAAGAAAAAAACCACCTGCATTAAACAAAATTATTTTTAAATGAATGATACAGTCAACCCGGTCGTTTTTCACATGTTGGTGCAGAGTGACTTGGGGTTGCTGCCCCTCCCGGTGTGCGGGGACCGTCCCCTGGGAACGCTCAGCAGCAGGTAAGGAAGCGCAGGAAGTGCCACAGGAACGTAACAGGGAACTGAACTCGGAAGATCTCAAGAGGAGTCCTCCACATACAGATTCATTATCGCCACTGTATTCTGGGAAACAAGTATATTTGATCAAACTATTTCTAAATTAGATTCCTAGAAAAATAAGCTCAGCATTTCACAGTACATTTCCAAAGCAGTAAATCTGCAATGAATGATGTTCTGTAAGCTCAGTAAGCTACGTAAACAGCTAAAATTTTAAAGTACTAATTTTTGAGAAGCTCACTGAAGTGTGATGCTAACTGCATTATAAAAAAGAGGTAACTTTTACTGCTACATTTATCTGGCTCATTAAAATAACCAACCTGCCTTGAAGGGGAGGGTGGACCCTAATACTCTAAGCCTTGCTAAAGAGGATCCTCAAACCATCCAACCCTGTCAACCCCACTGGCTCTCAGGTGCCTGGATAACGTCTTGGTAATGATATTCCTGTTAGTGCCTCGGGGAGATGAACCTTAAAATGGAAAACTTCACCTTAGGGACCTGGGCTTGGTATTAAGCATGAAGGGAAGATATGAAGTATTCATTAGTGTCTTCATTTTACCCCTCAGGAATTTCAAAATCTCCCAGAGAAGTGCCATCCAACAGAAATATATTAGCCACACGCAGGAATTTTAAATTCTCTAGTAGTGACATTAAGGAAAGAGAAACAAGTTGGGGAAAGGCTTTGAATAGACATTTCTTCAAATGTCTATTCAAATACATAAATGGCAGATAAGTATGTGAAAGATGCTCAGCAAGCATAAGTCAAGAGAAATCAAACCAAAATGAGAAGATGCCACTTAACATATACCAGGTCAATGACAAGTAAAAAAAAAAAGGGGGGGGATACGTATCGACGAAGATGTGGAAGAACTGGACCCTCACACACAGCTGATGAGAGCGTAAATGGTGCAGTCGCTGTGGAAAACAGTTTGGCAGTTTGATGTAAAGGATTTACTGGATTTATGGGAAAGAGAAGACCCCACCTCTTGGAGATATATACTGAAATATTTAATAGTGAAAAAGTATGAGTTATAATCACTGACGCTGGATGTTAGACACACGGGGGGTCCAGTAAATGATCCCGTCTACTTTTTCATGTTTAAAATGTTCCACGACTGGTCTCCATACGCAGGCAGACACACCGAATCCTGTCATGTGGCTAATAATTAAAACTGCAAAGCAAAGCTAAGAATGAATTCTCTTTTGAATCTTAACTTCAAAGTTTGTTTTAGTGGAAAAGGTCAGTTAGAAGATGCTGAAGTTAACCTCTGTTTCCTAAAGGAAATTTTGGGTAGGTTCAAGGCCTTTAAGAGGAACAGATCTCTCCAGTGTGCTATTCGTACTTGTAATTTCACAACAGAGAGAAGATGGGGATATTTTCTTGAAGAAAATGAAAAGACTTGAAAGGTGGGAAAGAAAGAAGACAGAAGGTTCTATAGATCCTGGGGTGGGGTCTGCTACTGATTTGCTCCTTGACTTTGGACACACCACTCAACTTTTCCTGGCCCAATATTCCCCAGCCGTAACCCAAAAGGTCGGCCTGCAGTGTTCTAATGGGGCCCATTACGGGCATTTCAGGTGGGATAACTATTCCCCTCCCGCCCCCCACATGGCAGCCTCTGTATAGCTCTGCTTCCCTCTAAATGCCAGTATCACCCTGTCCACGTGTCACCAAGAACCAAAAAAAAAAGCCCCACCCCTACATTTCCAAATGGCCCCTGGGAGGCTGGAGGTTTAATCAGTTAACAGCTGTCTACATAAAAAAATTGACAGTGGAGCCAGGGGGTTGGGGGCCCAGGTCAGCCTGCCTGGCCCCCAGCCTCTCCACCACGTGCTCCTAGATTGAAAACCACTAGTCTTGACAACCACAAGCATCCTTCAATCCCCCAAAGGCCTGCGATCCTAAGCCCCCCGGGAAGCAAGCGCCAGCAGGAGAAAGCCGTTTCCCTGTGAAGGGGCCAGGAGAGACATGTTCATCCACAGCTCCCTCGGGTGGATGGGGTGGGGGAGGGCACTGAGGAGCACAGCTGTTCTCAGGCCCAAGAGCCACGTGAATAATTCAGAACTCAGCAAGCCGGCACGGTGTGTGCATCCTGCGCCCAGTGTGAGCCAGGGCCTGGAGGCACAGAGATGAGCGATTCACACCCCTGCCCTTGGCCCACTGCTGGGTGGGGAGATGGCCAGGCAGGGCCCTCAAC